ATGGGGCCTTACAATAGTCTGTCATTCCAGTCTGATCCCCCACCAGCATTCCCCTTGTATTGTGCTACTGCTGTGAGCAGAGGTCCAACCTGTCTGTTACCCCTTCTTTGTCCAGGTGCAGCACTGGCTCCTACAGCTGGCCTTGGAGCTGGAGTCCAGACTGAACAAGGACAGGAGCCAGGTAAGGAGGGGAGGCACAGGGACACAAGGAGGCATTTGCACCGTGAGTGGTTTGCAGGAGGCTGAGGGTGGTGTTTGGGAGGGGAGGAAATCTGCTCACCCACAGATGGGTGCCTGTGTGCTGAGGTGTCTCAAGAAGAGAGGCATGCAGGAGCATGGCCAGGCAGGATCGTTTTGCCCCAGAACACTGCAGGGTTAAGAACAGTCCTTGTCCCATGCTTTAGGATGCAGGGATCTGAAAGCCACTGCACCTTCCTTCTGCTGCACTGCTGCTCCCTTGCAAGCCCTTTGCTGACACAGGTGTGCCCGTGGGCTGTGAGAGGGAGCGCTGCCCTCCTAGCTGGACGGTAGGCTGCAGGCCAGGATGGAAGCAATCCAGCTTTGGCACTGCAGCGGGGCCAAAAAAACTGTGGAGCTGCCTTTGAGGAAAAGCAAGGACTAGGTGCTTCCCATCCTGTGTGGCACAGCTGTGCAAGCACTCGTTGTGTACAACATCCCTTGGCAATCAGGCCGGGCAGGACATGTCCCACCCCATCCTCGGGAGATGGCAGGGGTGTGGGGGGCTGGGCAGGACTCCAGGCAGGGTACAGTGCCCTCGGCTGTTCCTGCCCTTTCCTGCAGGAGTCGCTGGAAGCACAGCTCTACTCTCCCGGCAGAACCACCGCGTGGCCCGACAGCTGATGGTGGTGATCCGCCAGCAAGGGGACACCCGCGTGTCACGCCTGTGTGCCCTGTCCCGCTATGATGCACAGAAAATGTGCAACGATGCCTTCACCCTCATCCAAACCTGCAACGTGGCTGGGGCTCACCAGGCAGCATGGTGAGTGTGGGGCAAAGGGCGTCACCTCTGTCAGGACTGGTTCTGATGTGGGAGGTACTGGACAAAAGAGAGACCTATTGGAAAGGAACTCAAGTTAGTTTGAGTGGCAGGAAAAGTGATTTCCAGCACCCTCACAGTAGAGTGCAGAGGTAGGACAGCCTGGCCTCTTCTGAGCCCCACATCTGGTGAGACACTTCTGTACTTGGAGTTAGGATTGCTACTGGCTGGGGTTTGTCCAGATGAAGCGAGGCTGTCCTGGCCTTGCTGGGCTGAAGAAATTAGCTAAGCCTTGTTGTCTTACCCTAAGGACAAAGCTTTTTACTTCTGTACTTGGAGTTAGGATTGCTACTGGCTGGGGTTTGTCCAGCTGAAGCGAGGCTGTCCTGGCCCTGCTGGGCTGAAGAAATTAGTTAAGCCTTGTTCTTACCCTAAGGACAAAGCTTTTTGTGAGGAAGCCATTAGAGCAGGAAGAAAAATGAAAGTGCACAACTCCTCAGCATTTTCTTCCTTCCTTCTGCTCTGCAGTAAAGAAAAGAAGGTCCTGTCTGTTAAACTCTGACAAGGCTACTGCACTCTTAGCGTGCTCTCATCTCACAGCAGCTTCAGCCTGTAGTGCACTGAAAGTACAGGCTGGCAGTTGGCTGCTCCTGCTCCACTGCCCTTCCTTTGGGAATTGCTGCGTTGGAAAGAGGGGTTCTGCTTTGCCCAGCACAGCCTGCTATGTCTGTTCTGGAGGTAACAATACTAACTTTGAGCAAACATCTGTCCCAACCCTTGCCAGACACTACAGTTCCCCTGTCTGTGAATGTTTTGTGTTGTTTCAAGTCTTACCTCAAAAGATTTCTTGCTTTCCAGGCTGGTGTCTGAGCTGATGTTGGTCTGTCCTTTGCAGGTCTCCACCACTGATTTCAGTGCAACTCTCAGCAAGCAAGTTCTCGGAGCCTGTCACCCTCTCTACAGGCATTGCCACCTTCCTGACGGGTGATGCCCAGCCTGATGGCACTGCCACCACCAGCCAAAACTCCACGTCTTGTGGGAGGGCCGGGGTCAAGTTCTTTAGGAGCCCGAGCAAAGAGCTTCGACAGAAGCCAGCAAGTGCTATTGAGTCGTTCTTCCAAAAGGCAGCAGAACGGCAGCTGTCACAGGCAGTGGCAGCAACCAGCTTGCCCACTGCTGCCACTGCAGAGCCAGCTGTGCCCAGCTCCCCAGAGCACCAAGAGAGAGCTGCTGTTGGCTTGCCTGTTAGACTTGCCTCTGTACAGTGTGACCTGGAGTCCCCTGTGAAGCAGGGTCCCAGCGATGCCAGCCCTACTTCCCTGTACAAGAGGCTTCGCCGGGAGAAGTTGTCATCAGATGCTACACAAACACCCTCAACTCCACCCAGCTCCAGGACCCTTCTGAAATTACAGCCAGCTGTGGAGGGAAATGAGCAGAATTTGCCACCCTCTCCTGAGCTCACCCTGTTGCCTCCTGCTTCTCCAGGGGACCAGCAACGCTGTGAGAAGTGTGGCCAGCTCGTGCTGATGTGGGAGTTCCCAGAGCACACGGACTACCACTTTGCTCTGGAGCTGCAAAGCTCTTTCCTGGAGCCTAGCCCTCCCATGGCTCCAGAAGCAGTTCCCAATGCAAAGGCTGTGGCTTCCAGGTCTCCTGCCAAGGCAAAGAATAAGCCCAAGACTGCAGTGGGATCTAGTACAAAACGACCCAAAGAAGGTGTGACAAGAACTTTAGATTTTTTCTTTAAGCCCTTACCTCCTTAACTCTCAGCCATGCTGGGTGTTTTTAAAGAATCAGTATTTTTAAATAATCAGTGTTTTTAAAGAATCAGTGCTTTTAAATATAGTTAAAAGTTTTTATACTGCTTGTCAGGTTTTAATGCCAAAAAATCTATTAAATTATCTTCACCCCAAGTCTAAGAGGAAGTGGAACTCATGAATTATGTAGATGTAGCCAGTTTAACAGTGGCAGCTAAGCCTGCCTCTGCCTGCCTGGTGCTACTAGAAGCTGCATGGTACTCTCACCTACACCTCTTACCATAGGTATTTGTACGCCATTCTTGCTCAGTAATTCTGTTCCTCCTAAAAAAGCAGCTACTGTAAGTGCAGAAGCTTATCCCAGGGAATCTCCAGCTAAGCCTTGGCTTGAACCCCTGTTTAATCACTCTGTATAAAAGCTTCAACTCGTGGTTCTACTCTGGCTGCAGTTGCAGGCTTTGCCCTTACTATGTAATTTATATGTAGTAGCTTAGCCCAGTTGTTCCTTCTCCCCTCCACGTGGAAGACAGTGATTTTGATTCGCTCCTTCCCCCAGGATTTATGTTCTAGATAGTTTAATAATTCCCTCTGTGTAGCAGTCCATTGCATTATGCTTATCAGCAGCTCAGGAGTACACAAGAAAGACTACTCCTGTCATAAAAGATTTAAGGAAGCAGTAGCTGCATAGGCATACTTTCTGGTGGGCTCTTTGAAAACTGCACTAATTCATAATAATTGCTAATGACACATAAACAGTCTACTGTTAGAGCCCTCACTGGAAGGGATAGAAAACATGCCAAGAGTCACAAAAAACACTGTGAAAGCTTTTGTCCGGTGTAGAGTGCATAACCACATTTTTCCTTCTTCCCAGACAGAGTGGTACCAGATACAGCTTGCTGACAGGTACCTGTTCAGACTGGGCTCTGCCAAACGACTTGTTCAGCTCTTTGAGCCACAGGCCACAGTACAGTGGCCACTCCAGAACTCCATAGATTACAACAGCCAACAAAGCAGAGTATCATGGAGGGGACAGGCAGGTACTGAGAGAGGGTGAGACTGGCTCCCGGGCAAGATAAGCTAGTGCTCTCAGCTGCCTGGCAGGGCTCAGCTCTGCTACACTGCGAGCTGCCTGGAGCCCGCCAGAAGCTCTGCTGCCGATAATTTGAACGTGGCTCTTTGGGCGGGGTGGGGAGGGGGGGGCGGGGGGAAAGAATGTGCCACGTCAAGGCAGCTCTGGGTGGGGTTAGGAATCGAATTGCAGGGAGTTTCATCAGCTGCAGGATTCCCTTCCTTGGGCAGGGGGGGACAGAGCCTTTCAGGCAGCAGATGATGCAAACTGCAGCTCTGTATCCGTGTACTATTTTCTGACCTGCATCATCCTAAATGCAGCTGTTGAGCTGCTCTCTCCTTCCAGCAGACAGCCTGTGCTGGGATGCTGCTGCATTACTGTCACTGGAGTCTAATACTTTACAACAGTCATGAGATTTCAAGAAGAACAAGAAACTCATTCTGGTGCATGCAACTGGTAATCAGTAGAGGAAGGAATTATGAAGTCACTCCCACTAATGACAGTCCTAACATTGCAAAGTGACAAATTTCCCAAAGTCCTCACGTGAAGAGAAGCAGCAACCAGTTTGGCAGGATTGTCTCATCTCCTGTGACAGTGGCACATCTCATTTCCTAAGTGACTGGCAGGACTGGACTCTGCAGATGCCACTATCTGACACAAAAACGAGTCTAGAAGAGGCAAATCCTTTTGGTCATAAGTCATCTCCACAGGGAAACCTTTCTGCCTCTACTTGTCCTAAGGGAACAACCTGTTCTCATGGAGACAAGGCAGTCATGAACCTCTTGATAAGGTCAAAGCTATTTCAGAAACAAATCACCGGTTAGATGTGTGCCCTAGAAAGCGTCTCTTTAATTATGCTCTGGGGGAATTTGTGACTGAAGAGGCTCTCAGCACAGCCGGTTCCGCCCACAACAGCCCAAAGTGCTGTGCTCAGGGTGACGTGGCTGCCGTCACCTCAGGCTGCACACCCAGGCTTACTCAGATAAGCCGGGAGCGCAAGATTGTAAACAGCAGCGCGTGCATTCTTTCCACACCACGGCGCGGTATTTATAGGGCTGAACGCAGGAAGCTTAGGAATGGGTGAAGGGTAGCCAGCTCCAACAGTGACCCAGCTCCAAGGGCAGCAGGGTAAGAGCCCAGCTCCACCCTCACTCATTGTACAACTCAGCCAGCAAGCTCAATAAAACATCTTTATTCTGTACATTTATATAGATGCTTGGAGAACAGGGACAATCCCCAGCATTAGAAAAATTCAAGACAACAAAACAGCAATTATGAAGAGCATGGCACCAAGAACAGTCATGCCACAGATGGCAGGGATGAGGTGAGACCAGCCACCAGCTGTTTCAGAAAAGGTCACAGCACCCCCCTTTGGGGCAGAAAACACCAGTGCAAAAGAGTGCAAAGAGCTGGAGTCCCCCACCCCCAGCCAGCTCTCTTTGTGACCCACTAGCACCAAAGGGAAGAGCCTGCTGGCAGCTGGGACTTGTCCTTGCAGGCATTGGTGGAAAGACTGTGTCATGGGAATACTCAGCCCACTGCCAGAATGGGAAAAAAAGGGGATCCTGCTTGAGCAGTGACGGTGAGCCAGCATCTCCTTTCTCTCTGCTGGGGATGCAGCAGTTTTCAGCTGGATCGGTGCTCCATCCAAGGGAAAGGTCACTCCTGCAACTATTAAGCTGCCTTCCCTTCACTTATGCCACCACTTGACAGGCTTCCCCCACCTCAGCACGCTCTTGGCAGGTGCAGCCCCCACCTTCCTGCCGGCCTCGCCCAGCGCAGAGACCCACGGCCCCGCGCAGCAGCGCCTGTGCCAGCGGCCCAGCAGCAGAACCTGCTCTCAGGATGGCACAAAGGCCACTTGAGTGTCCGAGTGCTATCACAGGCCTTCACCCTTTCTTCAGTCAGGGCTAGCAGGCCACCACACCGACCAGCAGGGCTTGCTGAAGGCCTTTTGCTCACAGCAGACACATTTCGTCTTAACAGTCAACAGTAAAACCAAAAGCCTATGTACAGCTTTACAGACCCTGCTGCACCCTCCAGGCTACACAGCAAAGCTGCAAGAGTGGGAGACCTGTGCCCCACTCTACATACAGAGTCCTTGCTGGCAACGTCAGCTTCCCTCTGACAACAAACACCAGTGGCAATGGAAAGAAAGAATTCTTGCTCCAAGAGAAATAAAAGTCATGCCACTGCCAAAACAGAAGTTATCTGGTTTTGTGTAAGTATTGCAGCCTGTCCTCCTCACACATTAAGGCAAGCATGTGAGGAACAAGGTGGGCTGGGAACAGCCACACCAGGGAGCCCGCTGCAAACCACTGCTACCAATGTGCAGATGGCACCTTCAGTGAACATCCATGGAAACAACCTGCTCACACCAGCACAGGCCTGGGCTCTGCTCTGCTCCACAGAATGGCGTCCTGTCCAGCTGCTGCAAGGAACAGATGCAAGTACAAACTCTGTCTTCATGATGTTATGTCAGGAGGCTGTGCCACTCAGAGCAGCCACAGCTTCCTGGAAGTCATAAAGAGGGATGCTGAAGAAATGTGTGCATGTAAGTGGGGTACAGGACATCTGTCCAACAGTAAGACACTCAGATTGGAGTAACGCAAAACCAATGCACAAATGGACACACAGTAGACTAAAGCCAACCAAGATTCAAACGGTTAAAAAGTGTCCTGAACACATTCTGAGAGGTTCAGCCAAGTCCCTGCTGTGGGTAGCATGGCCTGTTCCATCCTCTGCCCAGAAGGATGTACTGAAAGATGATTTGAGAGAATACTGTTATCAACTCAGTGCTCAGACAGCAAAAATGGGACCAGGCCTTGTGTCAGAGATGGAAAAACATCCCTTCACTGCTTGTCTTCAAGGTCGCTGCGCCTCCCAACCAGCAATTTCCAAACAGTAAACAAAGCCAATACTTGCTTGCCCAGGTCTGCGGGTACCTCTGATCTATTCCAAATGAAAGCTGCAGGCGATGTGGAGAACATGCTTAACTTGTCCCACGCACGGCACTGAATGCAAGAAACTCTCTCGTGCTCCATCTCACAGTGCAGAGGAGGGACATCCACACTAGAACGGGACAGCAGCAGCTCCAGGCATTGCTCAGAAAGCCCCAGGAGCTTCCAGCCTTCTCCCCAGGTGTTGGTGAGTGGAGATTTCTCTGACCTGCTGGTAGTCAGAAGCTCAGCTGTCCAGGCCCCAGGGACTCCTCCAGGCCGTTTTCTTTGGTGGTGATGGCTTGGAGGTTAGTGACATGCCCAATGCCTTTGGTGACTCCTTCACGGAAAAGTAGTTTGGCTCCAATCTTCAAGTATTCAGGATGCTTGATGAACTTGAAACAGACAACTGCCTTCTCTCCTGTCCGCAGCTTGTCCTGAAAAGAAAAATGGGAGAGCTTAGACCCATCTCCCATGCTGATGCATGCAGGAAGAGGTACATGTGGATGGAAAGTAGATGAGGCAAATGAGCAGCCTTCTTCAGACTGCAAGGCTTGAGCCCTTCCCATTACTGTATACATAAGAAGAGACAGGAAGACACAAGCTCTGAAGAATAGAATTCACCTCTCTTCTTTAACTTGTTTGGACAAAAAGCAACCAAATGGGCAGGACAAAAGGATAGAGTCTGCTCCTAGGAAGGGACACAGCTACTCAAAATACCAGCAGCCCCCAGCTTTACTAGAAGGCGTGGTGGAATCTTAACAAACCCAACAAACCCCACAGGGAGGTCCATCTTCCTCCCCTTTCTTCCCATAGCCTACCTTTCCATGGATCTTCTCCACGATAGCTGTCTGTCGCACATTCCCCACATGCACCGTCACCTGAAACCCCTTCCGGAAAGTTGTGGCATGGAATAACAGCACGATCTCGGCTTCAAACACTGAGCAGATGGTGGGGTTCATTTCTGGGCTCACCATGACCATGCCCTGCAGAAAAACCCAAGGCTCAGGTCAGTCAGGGCCAGTCCCCTTGCTTCTGAACAGCCCCCAAAACCACAAATACACCTCCACTCTGTGACTTGGGCTTACATCCCATTCTCAGCCTTGTACTCATTGTAATTTGTAACCTGGTCATTCCCTCCCCTTTCAGCATGCTTCCTGCAAACGTTTCTACTTCATTCCCACCCTACCAATGGAGGATGCCTAGGGAAGCCTCCAGCCCTGCTCACTGGACCAGTGAACGACCTGCATTAGCAGGACTAACCTTGCGCAGCAGGGAGCGGTCGAAAGGTCCGAGGGCCAGGGTGGCTGCCTGCCCAGCCCGCAGCACGCGGCAGGCAGAGCGGTTCCGTTGGATACTGCACACTTTCAGCCGAAGGAACTTCCCATCGTCAGTGGGACCAACCACCAAGTTCTCCCCTTCTCGGCAGATCCCACTGCCCAGGGTAGAAGAGCAGGACACAGTTAATCAGGAGACAAAGATATTTCACCCTTCAAGATTAACCTGAATAAATTCTTCAGGGCCAAGTCTTTGGATTCTTACCCTGGAGAAACTATCAGGGAGACAAAGCTGCTGAGAATCAGGATTTCTTACAGCAGGAGGGAAAGTCACACTAGCATTCTTAAGAATCCCATGTACAGGCAGGGGCCATTGCACTCCCACTGCTCTGCCACACTGCTTTGTTTCTGGTGGAGCGACCTCAGATAACACTCCTTCAGTGTGGGTGTGCTGTTGGCCAAACTGCTCTGATCGCTCCCGAACACAGACGGACAGCTGCCTGTCCATCTGTGCAGTTAACCCCTGCTGGAATCAGAGGATCTACCTTTTACATTTCCTCCCCCAACCTGAGGAAGGAAGAAAGCAACTCCTTGGGATCATACCTAACCTCTGCCAACTTTAGATTCCAGCATGCCTTTTTCAGCATGCTTCAGGACACACTCCTAATCCAGCAACTTTAGAGCAGACTGTCTGCTGGCCACCACATGACCAATGGTCTGTTCATGTCACTTCCCAGCCCCTGTAAGCTCTACTCTCTCTTGGCTCAGTCATCTGGCAGCAGTCAGGACTGAGCCTCACACAGCTTCCACTTCTGCAGCAGATGACTCTAACCTTGTGGGAACTCCAGCAACCATTCACATCCACATATCTGCCTAGGCTCACTTACCTTGACAGAGTTCCTCCCACAACAGTCCCCACCTCTGGCACTGTATAAATTTCATCAACCTGCAGCAAGGCAACAAGAATAAGTTGCTCAGACAGCTATGAAATAGCACTCCAGAATGAGGACCAGCACTCCAGAAAGAGCCCGGCCCTTGTGTGGAAGGAGGTGATCTCTCTGCTGGTCATCAGACACCGCCTCAGAGCTTCACCAGCTCCCACTACCTTCCCATTAGAGGAACAAAGCTCTTCCTTTTAAATAGCAACCAGAGAAATTATGGTATCCCTGAGACAGATATCTCAAGGTTAGGACAGATTCAGCCTATCAGGCTTTTATCAAGGACCAAGTCCTTTTTTTAATGTCTCTCAGCAGTCCATCTCTACTCATAGTGTCCAAATTTCCCAAACATTTCTCCCATGGCACAGCAATGAGTCCAGTATCAGAGCTGGAAACAAACTACCCTCACCCACCTGAAATTCTGTAAGTTGCTGCATTAATTCTTCCTGCTCTTTACTGTTCGTCAGTGGAGGGAGGATGTTAAGGAAGACTTTCAAGAGATCCAGGTTCTCCCCAGAAACACTGGACAGTGTGAAGATTGGGGTGATGCTGTCAGACACAAGTAGACAGAAATAAGCAGAAGACCACGGCACAGTTCCAGAAGGCTTCTGGGATTCTGCATCTACTGAGACCCACAGGAAGGTGGATACTGTACCAGTAAGTGGCTAAAGCAGGAAGGCCAGATACACCTCTCAGTAACCCCCTGCCTCAATGTTTGGTTGAGACACCAATCCCTTCTCAACACACACTTTTCTCATGAAGAAGTAACTCTAATGCAGCCTTTGCTCCCAGAACCCAGAAAAACATTTGGGAGGGGAAAATGCCTTCTTGGAGAATGCAAAGGTAGGAAACCTGACAAAGAGCAGAGATGTTCAAGATGTAGTCACCTCCCCTGTGTTCACCCTTCCCCAGCTACACATGGCAGCCAACTCTGAATTGCCTGCTCCCAACAGAAGAAAGTAACAGTCCCTTACTTGGGAGATTGTGCAAACTGTTGTGCTGCTGTAACTGCATCATCGTCTGAATTCACAAGCAGGGGGAGCTTGTTGCAGCCTGGCTGCTTCAGGATTCGCTCCAGCTGCTTCACTGTCCGTTCCACGGTGGCTTTTGAACACAAGTCGACTTTGCTGATGACAATGAAGAAGGGGACCTTGAGGGCCATGGCCAAGCCCAAGTGCTCTCGTGTTGTGCCCGCTGCAGGAGACAAGTGAGAGTGTAGGTGCAGCAGCAGTCACCACCGTAGCTGTGTCCCCTGGCTATCCCACAGGCCCATCTAGAGATTTCACTGTAATTGCTTAGTTCATCATGCATTGAAAAAGCATAGTTATTCTTTTAAACAAAACTTAACATCAGTCCAGAAAAATAAAAACCACCAAGAAATTTTGTGACTGATCTGTCTGCTTCAGAAAGATGCGGTATTTTCATTCTTTGACCAAAGTTTGCCAGAGAACAGTCACAAAAATGTCAGAGATAGATGTGGGGGAACTCCAGATACCTTTTCACAAGACTTTGGGATCCAGCACCCCTAAGAATACATCAAAGTTGTTTTCTTTTCTGAGAAACACTGCCCCAAATCCCAAACAAAGCTTCTCAGTCCAGGGTACAGTTTAATGTGGTCTACAGCTGGTAGGAGGACCCCAGATCTACTCCCCTCCCAGGCAATCCTAGACACTGGCTTACAAGATATCAGTAGAAGCTTACAAATTGATAAACTTTCCTCAAAGCCATTCACAGCTGACAAGGACTCATTCCCCTCATTCTCCATTCCTCTTCACATGTTGCACTCAAACCATGCAGGCAGGGCGACACTCACCAATGCCAGTGTTGGCACTAACCACCAGCATGGCAAAGTCTGGGCAGTAGCTGGTGAGGCCAAAGATGGTTGTTTTCAGATACTTGTGGTGGCCAGCCAGGTCAATGAAAGTGATCATTTTGGAAGAACTCTCACAGATCTCTTCTGCTGTCCGGGAGTCACTGTAATTTACCACCTAAGGGATAAGGAGCTTGTGAGAGAGACAGCCCCAGTGGGCAAGAAAAGAAAACCCTTATCTATCCACTTTGATGTCAGAATTACTAAGTAGAGATCATCCACCATGGGTGCAAGAAACAGTGTCTGTTGCAAACGTACAACCAGCACTCAGGTTCAGCTTAAGGGACAGAGAACTGTGCCACCTCTCTTCCCTCCTGTCCCACTCACAGTTCTAACAGGAGGGTAATCCTAGTCTCCTCCAGCTTTCTGAGTTCAACAACCCACTCTCTCTTACCTCTCCTTTGCTGTTGAAGCCGAGGATCTCAAAGCTGATGCTTGATGTTCTTCCTGACTGGATTTCATGGAGATGCCGGAAGAGGTTGAGGCGTGCTCTGCCCCGCCCATTGTCCAGCTCTCCTTGTGTTAGGACACCCAACAGTGTTGACTTCCCTGAGTCCACATTCCCTAGGACAGCTACTCGAAGGTCTAGAAACTACAGGAAAAAGAACAAAGAAATCATTAAACTTAACCACTGCTGTGCTGAGTGCACAAGCACTACTGGGCAGTGGAAATGCAGCTCAGAGAGCTTCCCTACATCAGGAACAAAGTGCAGTTTAATCTTGCTCAGATTCTACTCCTGCAACCAGCAAACCACTGCCCAGCAGTTGTGATACACTCTCTAGAGTTGAGATGTGACATATCAGGCGTTGATATCACAAATAAGGCTATTTGCTGCAGCAGACCACTAAATCCTTCCTTGTTTGCACACAGGTCTGCATCAGAACCACTGCCACAGAAGCAAAATAATTTTTCACCTTTGCTCCAGGTAATCTCCTGCACTGACATCTGCATCAATCACAGTCTTGGAGATAAGAAGCGTTATCATCAAGCCTCCCTCTGGCAGCCCTTTAAAGCATCTGCTATAGGCCAACCTATGACAAAGTGCCTCTAGGCTTTGGGCTTCCAAACCCAAAGGAAGCTGCTCGTGCAAAGCCTCTAGGTCTCCAGCAGGAGAAGACAGCCAAACCACAGGTCCCTACCTGCTGGTTGTCAGGCACCTTTCGGACAAGCACCTCCGTTATCTTCCTTGGAACATCGCTGTCGTAATCAACCTCCCTCTCCCGCAATACCGTAATGTCAGCCCCAACCCTGCCACAAAGACAAAAGGAAGGAGTGAGACATGTGTACTTGACAGCTCTTGCACCTCTATGATAACAGCTGACAAAGTGAATGGGATGAAGGCTGGGGATAGCAGGGAAGGAGCCTCAAGCTTCCAGACAAAAGCCCTATAACTTTCCTCATGTTTCCAGAGCCTCAGGACCGAAGAAGTGTCAGTCATACAGGGGCTTTGCAGGATGGAGCAGCCAGCTGCTCAGGGGCTCCAGGGAGCCACGCTGGTGGGCCTGCAGACAAAAGGGAGCACGTACTTCTCTGCCATGCGGCGCAGCGTCTTGAGCGAGGCTCGCATCTCCTCCTCCGAGAGGCCCACCAGCAGCCCGTTGTCCTCCACGCCGATCTGGTAGACGGCCTCACCTCGGCCCTCCTGTAGTCGCCACTTCATCTGTGTCACCAGGTGCTCAAAGCGATACTGCGAGGGGTTCACCAGCTTTAGCTGTTTAACAGAGGGGTAGTTTGAGTCACAGCCTGGATGCAGAGGCAGTCCCATTGCCCAGTTCTGTGCAGCAATGCTCCCAACTCTGACCCACCTCTAGAAAGCACAGCCTGTATTAGTGTCTAAACAGAAGGCATGGGACAGGTGAGAAGGGGTTTCACAAAAGTACAAATATACGGCAGAAGAAATTTCCCACATCCTGACAAAGGGATCTGTACCCTGCCTGCTGCAGGGTTAAAGACAGCACTCTGGGACCAATCTGTGATCCAGGAACCAATAAGTGCAAATGGGATAGCAGCCACAAGAAAGTGGCAAATCATTTTCAGGGATATCTGCATCTCTCTCTCTAGAAAAATACAGTAGGCATCACATGCTAGAAGAGATTCCTAAAAATCAGTACTGAGATCAAGCTTTTCCAGCTCAGCAGAATGGGTAATGCTTGGCACAGAGACACAGAAGATGAATGGTAGTTCCTTAGTGCACTGTGCACTCTTCTGTCCTTTCCTTGGCCATGTTACCCATAGGCTGTCTTCGGTGAAGTTACTCACTGCAAAATAACCCTCTGGGAGGAAGACCTTCTGCAACCTCAAAAGGCTCACCTTGTACTCGATGTTCCCATCTTCTGCCTGGTCAGAGAATGAAAGAAGACAGAAGAGTTAGATGCTGTGCCCACAGGGATTTCTACAGGCACCAGCTGCCCATATATTCTGAAGCTGGTGCTGAAGATTTCAAAGAGAGGGAAAGTGGCAGAAAGAGACTGTGTTAGGTCCCAGCCTTCTGCCATTCCTTCCTACACTCAACTAGAACTTTCCTTATGGTTTATTTGGGCTGTTTGTATCCCACGTCATGAACACCAAAGGACAAAACTAGAGTGGGGCACAAGGGTCATACTGTCCAAGGCTGGGGGGGTGGGGTGGAATTTTTTTCTGGACAGTAAAGAATAGGGCCAGCCTAACAGTCACACAGAGAGAGTGTTCCAGTTCCAAAAAGGTCCAGGTCAGCCTATGATTTAAAGTCTCCCCCCTCACCCATCCATGACCCACAAAATGCCACCCACAGCATCCCACTCCCACACTATCCAGCAGCTTCCATCCATCCCATGTGCACAGAAACAGGGCCCTGAGAACAAAAGCTTCTGCTTCCTCTCCTGCTCAGTGATACTCTCCCTAACTCAATTAGTTTTTCATTGACTCCCTTCTACATCCTTATGTATCTTCTCTCTACAAGGAAGGACTACAGACATAAAGAAGCAAGGTAATGACTCATTTGCCAGCTAGTCACTGGCCAGAGTTCTGGAGAGCCAGACCTGATTGGGACTGTCTGTACACAATATGCTCAGAAGTACTATCTCAGGGAAGGCCAGATGGGGTTGTAACAGAAAGGTCCGGGTACCCATCAAGCTCAATTCAACCAAAACAGGCTCCAGCTTTCCAAAGAGAATATCTAATTTTACAATTAGATATACAATATTTAAGTAATTTTTTTCCAGTGATTCAGTATAAGGACCACTAAGAAAGGGCTCGAGCCCGCAGGAAGCCACATACTCAGACTAAATGGGGCTGGCAACAGTAAGCACTTCCTTTTCCTCTGGACACCTATTTGCATGTCAGGAGAGGCAACAGCCCTCTCCTTGCCTTCCAGCTCAGCTCTTAACCACAGCGGTGCTTACAGTGGCAAAAGGCCAACAGAAGTTCTCAACTGTCAGCTCAGTTCTCTGGCAGCAGAGCTGTGCTGTGAGAACAAGGTACTTGTAGCAGGTTTTCCTCTCTTGCCATCTACCAGCTTTCCACTGGTTCTAAGCAAAACCCATTCACCTACTGCACTGTCATCTAAAAAAGGGAGTGGGTCTTCTCCAAGGCACTTGAGACTAGAAAAGCAACAAGCCTAGACTTGCTGGGGCACACACCGCACGGGGTAGCCAGAAACAGGAAGCTGAGCTGAAACCACAGGGGACTCTCCAGCCTCCAGCTGAAAGGAACAAGAACTAAACTGCGGCTGCAGGGCACAGTCCTGCCTATGGAGAAGATCTAACAGTAGCAAAGCACTGTTTTCACATCTTCCCAAGAGTCCCAGGCCTGCCTTGTGTAGGAATTGCTCCCTCCCAGCACAGGCTATTATATATTTTACAGAAAGTTCACTGACAGGGACCGAGCAATTGAGTCTGAGCCAACGTAATTCTCCCCACAGTGACAGTTCTACGAGAGCGGTGACAACTGTCCCAGCTGAGCACACAGCCACGGTACTACCAAAGCCACTTCTTCCTGCTGCAGGAGACAAGCGCCTCACCCTCTGTCCATACCATCTGCAGCCCAATGTAAGAGAACAGCTGTCAAATTAGCTGGGAAGGGAGTCACCAGAACCCGTCTGTCAGCTGGAAAGGGGCTCAGACCCACCCGATCGTCTCTCCGGGAAAGAGAGATGCAAACGGGATGTTTGGAACTACGAGGCGAGCAAAGCTTTATTTTCGAAGCTTTTTCGATCGCAGGCGGCAAAGCGCCCGCAGACAGCCGCCAGGCAGTGCGATACCACTCCCGGACAGGGTCGGACAGACCCCGCAGGGAGCTGGCTGGCACCAGGGCCGCCAGCAGGGCCCGGAGGAGAGCCCGGGGCAGGCGGGCACAGAGCTCCCGGGGCCGGGCTGCAGGACCGCTGCTAGGCTGCTGTCAGCCCGACCGCGGCACGGCCCCGCACCAGCACCGCCGGCACCTCCGGCCAGACCCGCCACCCAACCTGCGGGGTCCGGCCGGGGCACCGACCCGCTCTGGGGGGCACCGGCCCTCCGGCCCCTCCCGCCCCTCAGCGCCAGCGCCCCCGCCCCCGGGCCTGGGCTCGCTCCCTCCGCGGCTGACGGGACGCGGCGGCCGCCGGAGCTCACCTCGGGCGGCAGGTACGGGGGGTTGTTGGCCTTCCCTCCGCGGCTCCGCCCGTTCTTTTTCTTCGTCTTCGAGCCACCGCCGCCGCCAGGCGCGGGCCCCCCGCGCCCGCGCAGCGCTGCGCCTGCCCCGCCGCCCGCCGGTCGACAGCAGCCCCCGAACAGCTCTGACACCCGCGAGTCCATGGCGGACACCGCGGGCCCCCCGCCCTGCTGCAGCGCCCGCTCCGCTCCGCTCCCCGCCCGGCCCCGCCGGCCCGGCTCCGGCCCCGGCGTCACCGACCGCCGCGCGGCGCCCCGGGAAAGCGAGTCCCGCCCGCCTACAACGCCGAGAACGCGCCGCGCGCCTCCCGCTCGAAACTACTTCTCCCGGCGTGCCCCGCGGCGCGACCAATTCGCTCCCGTACGGGTTCCATCCACGGGGGCTGATGGGAGTTGGAGTCCAAGGGAGAGGGCGCCACCTGCCGGCCGCAGCCGACAACGCGCGGGATGCCACCGCTCCCCGGAGCCCGCTCCCCGGGATCTGCGGACGCCCGCGGGTTATCCCTTTGGCAGTTCACAGCCTCGGGTTCCCTGCTTATTGACATCGAGCGACCAGTCATTCTGGAGTCGGGAAACTGGAGCACTTTCGAAGCTGTTTTGCATTGGAGGTACTTCATGACTACGCAGAGGGAGCAGCCTCACACAGAGCGATCCCAAAGCACACATTAAGATCCAATGGGGGGCGGCCGGAACAGCGAAAGAAACCCTAGCTGTGCGCTGCATCCCCTCACTAAGTGCATTCCCAGTCTCCAGTTCCAGGGCCACTGCTCCTTCTCTTTCCTTGCCGCATGCCCTGGGGAAAGCGACGCTGGATCGGATCATTGTTCGTGTACGACTGACACCCTCCGTGGCGCTCCGCATAGGTGGCCGCGGTTCCTGTAAAGCAGCCTCGGAGCGGCTCCTCTCGCCATCCCGCCCCCGACTCGCCGTGCGCTGAGGCGGCGCCCAATGGGGCGGCGGGCACAATGTTTCCAAACACGGCACTCCCTGCGCGCTCCCCGCCTCCGCCGCCCCGCGGCAGCGCGAAGGCGGCTCCTCCGCAAGACAGCGGAGCCGCCAGAGCTTCCAGGAGCGAGACGGAGAACAGCGGAGCCGCTTCCTGGGCCCTCCCGGGATAGTCCTGCGAGAAGCAACCCGAGCTCCCGGCACGGCCTCAGCCGGGTGGCCGCGGGACGGGATCGGGAGGGAGAACGGAGGGGCGGGGCCAGGCGGAGACCCCGCCCCCTTCCCCGCCCACCAATCGCGCTGTCCGTGCTGCGTCGCCGCCGGAGGGCGCGCGGCGCGGCCCGTGAGCCACTCCCGTGAGGCTCCGCGGCGGCGGCATTTAAACCCGCGGCGGCCGTTGGGGGCGCGCGTCACTGGTTCTCGTTCTCAGGCGCTGGCGGGTCTGGATCGCGGCGGCGGAGGAGGGATGAGGCCTCGGGGGGACAGGTCGGCGCTGGGCAGCCCCGCAGTGGCCGTGGCGTTCCCGGGAGCTGTGTGCCGGGGCAGCGGCTACCGCTTCGCCTGCGAGCTCCTGAAGCACGTCCTGCACCAGCGGAACCAGCTCCCGCTGCCCTACGAGCAGCTGGCCTACTTCTGCCGGCGGGCGGCCCAGGTGAGGGACGGCGGCCGCGGGGTCAGCCCCGTGCTCGGAGGCGGCTCCCGGGGGATTCGGGGGGCCGTGGCGTTTGAGTTTTGCTTGCTAGCCCCTGTTCTCGCCCGGGGACTCTCACAGCAACGCGTCGGCGCTGTTAAAGTAAAGCGCTTGTTGTGGCTGCATCCCCAAATGTTACCTCTTCTTTTCAAAACGAGGCAAAGGCAACGTTAAGTTCGGGCTGCTGAAGGTGCCGACAAATTGCTCTTAATTGATTGTTTCCCGCTTTCCGCTCAAAGCGGTCGCTGCTTTGTTTGTTACCTCTAAACAAAAAAACAAAAAAAAAATACTATTAAGTGATTTCAGAAAGATGACTGATCTCTGAAAGATGGGCTTCTAATTCCTGTTGGAATTCATCAGTAGCTCCATTCAGATTCCAACTGAGTAGCCATAGATTGTGCTTTTGTGTTCCTCTTGCATCTCCTGATGTGGAGAGAAGATGTGCTTCTTCCCCACGTGGATACCTCTAGCTCTCAAAATGAACACAAACTGCTTGTTCCTTGACTCTCTGGGATGGGCCATGCTTCCTGCAGAGTATAATACATGTTCATAACTAAATGTGTTGTTATGAATTTTGGTTTTCCAGGAGGGAGATGGAATTGAGAAACCACGTTCCCTGGGCCCAGCAAGCAGAAAGTGCCAGCAGCTGCTGATGGAGCTGGAAGGATTGTTCCAGCACCTGGAAGTTATGTTTAGTCTGACGTTGGTTCCTCGGGTTCTTTTCCTACTTGGAGGCAACGTCATGAACCCCAAGGAGCTCTACGAGCTGAATTTGGAAGGGTTCTGTGAGGGCTCTGCTGAAGAGAGCCTCCAGACTGCGCCCTGTGTTCGCCAGCTCTTTCACCGCCTCTTTGTTGCTGATGTCTTCAGTGAACTTAAGGCTCTCCCTGTCACAGGCACTCTCGTCCTGGTCCAGGGCCACCGTAACTGTGGTGTTGAGTGGTTCCGGCCCAAGCTCAACTACCAAGTGCCGACCCGAGGGAGGAAGCTGACTGTTAAGTTGTCCTGTGATGGAGATCTCCATGTTAGTGCCTCACCTCCACAGCACACAGCACCTGCTTGGGAGGACTATGTCTGGTTCCAAGCACCAGTGACCCTCAAGGGCTTTAGTGAATGAATGGTTTCCTTAGAAATTTAATTGGAATATTGATTACTTTTTTTTCTTTAGGTGTTAATTTTAGCAAATGTAACCATGTATTTTTGAACCATGTCTGTCTGAATTTTTTTTTTTTTTGCTTCATGGTGTCTACTGCCTTCTTGTATCTTGCTGCACTCCTCTATTGTCCTTATTTCCTGAGTTGTTGTTGAAGGCAAATCCACTTTAAGGCACAGTTGCACACAGGTCCAGCAATTCTTTAGGGGCCTGATCTGTGACATGGGATAAATTAATGTGTTGGGAGTAAAATTTCCCTGCTGAGTTCTTGCTGAACTGGCACATGATGGATACATCCAATCTCCTCCTGTGTTTTAATACGGCCATTTTCTGACCCTGCCTTTACCACGTTACCCATAGGCTCTCTCAGGTGAAGTTACTTCCTGCAAAATAACTCTCTGGGAGGAAAAAACCTTCCACAGTCCTTAAAAGGCTCCCCATACCAGGAAAACCAGCAGACAAAACCAGAGCCGGGCACAGAGGTAACAGTGTTGCGGAACACAGATTTATTTCCAGCTAGAAAAGAATGGGGCAGGATGAAGGCAGTTCCTCTGCCAAGGGCTGGAGCTGCCAGGGCTGCTGTGGAGATGGACAAGCCACTTCCAGGGGCCCCCTGGCAACCCTGCAAGCAACACTGCCTCAGCTGCCATGGTGCGTGCCCCACTCGAGTACTCAAGTGCTCGTCCATCTATTTGATGCAATTACACTTTCCTGTAACTCACTTTCAGTTCCTTAACACTCCAAAAGTAAGACTTTTCAGCAACTGAGAAATCTTGTAGCTAGTGCTGTCTTGGAGATGGAAGGAGATCGATACTGTGGAGGCAGGGTAGCAATAAGCAATTTATTTTTTTTACTAATCTTTGTCTAACAGCCCTGACAATTGGTTAGATAGAAGATTAAAGTAAGCAGTTTCTTTGCTAACCCTCCTCAGAGAAAGTTAGAAGTGCTGCTGCGATAATGGAAGATTACTCTCACTTGAGGAAGAAACTTAAAATGTTTCTGAAATGCATAGAAATCAGGGGAATGTGATCAAGTTTAGCACTATCTTTACCTGCCAAATTCCTGTTCTTAGACTGTAGTACCTAGAATCAGAACTTGAGCCTGTTCTTCTGGACTGGTGTCTACTACAGGACAGGGAGAGAAGCCCTGAGAGCAGTGTGTTAGAACTAGATATCTGCTGGAGTTGTCTCCAGTCAGCTGGGCTGTTATCTGTGCTGTAATGAGCTTTCAGTATCTTGAAATAACTCCATCCTATTTGAAGAGATAGTGAACCTACTGGTAGTGAGGGTACTTGCTATTACTAGTCAAAAATGCACAATGGGGTGGTAAAAGGTTTTTTGTGAAGAGGGTGAAGATTTAAGTAACCCTCTACGCTTGGTGCATATCTTAACTTTGACCTTTTGGATGGAATGAGATGATAGAAGTAGTAGGAACTAAATTGGAAATTTTTGAGCTTGGAGAACACTAGAGTGCCCTCTCTGCTGTAGTATCCATTACTATCTGTTTACAATGTGCAGTAGCTGCTTCTTAAGCTCATTCTAGGGGAAAAGCTTTGAGTGAAGAAAGCTGCCTTATGTGCAGCTGCCCACTTGAATATGAAATCTCAGGTCTCTTGAAATATAACTTGAATGTAGGAGTGTTTGTGCTCAGGAGATCAAAACCTTTTATGCTTCCACCAAAGCTCCTTGTAACACATGTTTAAGAATGCAGGTTTAAAGTGTGCAATGTGTTTAAAGAAGCTTTTAAACAGAAGCCTTGGCCAGTTTGTTTCACCTCTCTTCCTCAGCTGAGTGCAATGTTACTGCAATTAACCGTTTACATATTCTGTTATACTTGAACGATGAATGCAGCAATGATAGGGTGCTGGGAACAAAGGAACACAATATGCTTTTTGGATTTTGTGGTTTTTTTTTTTTTATGAAATCATTACAACTTGATTTTTAAAATCACGACTGTATTATTATCAAAATAAAATGCTGGCTTCTATGTGTGATTATTCTGAGTGATTAAACAAATCCAGTCTAAAGGTTCTGCCACTGGTAAAACCACTTGTTTCCATTCTGTGCATATATTTCAACTGCAGGCTCACAGCTGTTCCACTTTTCTGACAAACTGCATGATGTCTTGTGCCAGGAGCTTTGGTTCCTCAAAGGCAGCAAAATGCCCTCCACGTGGCATGTAAGTGTAGGTGACAATGTTCTTGTAGACATTCTTTGCCCAGATACGTGGTACATGTACAATCTCCTGAGGAAAAGCTGCAATCCCTGTGGGAACATACACGCCAACCCTAGAAGACATAAGTTAATTGCATTGTTGAAACAAGTCCTGGGGGAAGTCTATAAAAACCTCTGTCTCTAGGAACACATTCAGCTGGAGAAGTTTCCCCACTTTGTGCAGTGCACCTCCTGCTCTGCACTCCACTGAGGAGCGTCATTTCTATTCAGGTAGCATTAAGTTGAAGAAGATGGTACCTGTAGAGGTGTAAAGTAGAGCCAACCTTGCACAC